TGGTTGCTCTCTTCCCAGTTACTTTATTCCCTCCTTCTGCTTGTCTCTGTGTGTGCACATGTGTGTGTGTGTGTGTGTGTGTGTGTGTGTGTGTGTTTGTGTATGGAGACCAAAGGTCAATAACATCAGGCATCATCCAATCACTCATCTTATTTTTGAGACAGCATCTCTCACTGAATTAAGAGCTCACTTCAAGCAAGCCATGAGGAACAAGCCAGTGAGAAGCACCCTTCCATGGCCTTTGCATCAGCTCCTGCTTCTGGGTTCCTGCCCTGCTTGAGTTCTTGCCTGACTTCCTTTGATGATGAACAGCAATATGGAAGTATAAGCTGAAGAAACCCTTTACTTCCCAGTTGCCTTGGTCACAGTGGTTCATCACAACAACAGCAACCCTAAGACAGTTCCTCCCTTCTTTGCAGTGTTGAGGATAGAACCCAGGGCCCTGCGCAAGCCAAGCAAGGTACTTGAATATAGGACCAGGAGGTGATTCCCGGGACGGAGCTGAAGGATCAAGGATAACCTCGACAGACCAGTTTCTAGGTAATGAAGTTCCTAACTTGATGTACCTAAATGAGAGGATGGAGTGAGTCTTGGGGTGAGAAGGGGCTCTGCAGAGGACTCAAATCCCAGTGGTGGCATCCTTAGCTCAGTCCCTGCCTCCATCCTTGCCTCCCTTCACCAACAAGTTAACCAGCAACTACTCAGAATCAGGCTTCAGAATCACCTAGATCCTAGTCCTGACCCTGCCAATCACTGGCTGGCCCCTCCCCTATGTGGTCCCAGTTTTCCTATTTTACCCACCTCCCAGGCAGTTGAGAAGATTAACATTCAACAGCACAGATGGCAAGGAGGAGCATGATCCCAAAGCCTCCCGCTCCTCTGCTGGGGTGACCAGGAGTCCATACCCCCTTCCTCAGAAGTTGAAGTCCAGTCCAGCTAGAGGCAGACAAGTAGCTCCCAAGCCTTTGTGGCATCCAGTCTCCAGACTGACCTGGCCAAGGGTGCTCTGGCCCACAGGCAAGCTCAGAGATGGTGTTTGGGAAGTCAGCAGGGGAGGGGGAAAGAGGGAGTCCCAGCAGGAGGCTTGTCTTGACTGTGGCTGAGTGCCAGGCTGCTAAAGATTCGGTGTGTGGATGGAAGCTTGTGCAGTGGTGGACAGCAGTGGATAGTTCTTGGGTGGGGAGGGAAACCTCTATGTGGGAACCAGAGGCTTCTGTTTACAGCCCTCCAGGCCCCTCCTTTTGGAGGACTAGGCACCACAAGGATTATCCAGTGCAGAGGGGGCTATGGACTGGAGGAGGGCTGGAAGGCTTTTCCAGGGAGCCCCTGCTCCCCTGAGAGGCACCTGCCTGGGGCCAGGGAGGCAGCTGGCATCTCACAACCCTGCAATTAGTAGATAAAGTCAGTAGTATTCTGCTGATAGTGGCAGTGGGGGCAGCAGGCTGAGCTGCAGCTGGCTCCTGAGTGCTAACTCTATCTCCAGTCTCCACCTGATGCCTTGGAAGGGTTGGCGGGAATGGCTGTCAGCCTCCTAGGTGGGCAAGGCATTAGGTCTTGCGTGGCTGTGCAGAGCAGTGGAGGAAGGCAGAAAGAACATGAGTGGTAGTCTTATAGGAGCTGGGCATGGCCAGCCCGTGGTTGTGGTCCCCTTTGTACAGAGAAACTAAAGCTTATCATGGGCCATGTAACTCTGGAGGGCTCCAGTGAGAATGGCTATCCCGGAGAGACAAGGCCTGATGAAGTCTCCTTGGGTTAATGATCTTGGCTAGAGAGCAAGGGCAGACTCTTGGGGTCCCCAGCCCTCAGTTACAATGCAGAGGGAGGAGCCAGACCTGGGATGCAAGCCCAGCCTGTCTGGGAACTCCAAGGCCTGGGATGAGAGACATTGAGGGTCTGGGAGGCTGCTGCACTGAATCCCTTGGCTGCCTTCTCTCTCCAGACTTGGATGCCCCCACAGACAAGCAGCTGGGGTGGGCTGGGATTTGGCATCAGCCTTCTATCACCTGGCCCTCCATTATTCCTCCACTCCTCTATCATAGCCCCCCCCCATGTGCCCTTCAAGATAGGGTCTCACTATGTAGCTCTGGCTATCTTGGAACTCACTATGTAGACCATGAACTCACAGAGGTTCGCCTGCCTCTGCTTCCGAGTGCTGAGATTAAAGGCGAGCACCACTACACCCAGTTTATTTCAGCTTTCTCTATCCCTCAGTCATTCCTCTCACCCATTATTCCAGGACACTGTGCTGCTGGCTGGTGGGGCAGGGGTAGCAGACAACCAACCATTCACACTAAGAGAGAAACGAGTAGGCTGAGGCGGTAGAGGACTGTTGGGGGAGGAATTCTGGGTGGTGGCAGGGGTTCAGCCAGGCTTGGAAAGGCCAGATATGCAAAGAAGTGGGTAAAACCATAGGCTCCTTGTCCTGGATGTGCACGGGCAGGCTCAGCATTCGGACTGCCTGGATTGGGATGGGATTATGACACTAGGCTGTGTGGTTGTGGGATAGTCACTTGCTCCCTCTGAGCTCCTGGATACCAGCATAAATGGGACAGTGATAGTGGTACCTGTCTCACTGGCTGGTGGGAAAGAGCTGCCTGTGAAACTCAGCAGTCACCCTTCAAGTGGTCACTTGGGTCCAAGCCTGTAAGTGGCATGTGTACTTGGCATGGCTGTACCTCACACTGGCTGCCTTGTCTCCACACCTTCACCCCCATCCCTGCACTGTCCAAAAGGGATCCTTGCCGTCAAATGCCTCCCAAAGTAGGCACAAGATAAGGCTGCAGGGGCTGGTGGGAACTGGGGTGCAGATTGCCTCTCACCTTCTGAGAGCAGCTGTGGCCACGTGGGAGCAGGAGCTGTGTGGTCAGAGGTGCTGATGGCCAGGAGAGGGAAACCCACATTTGGACGGGCAAGCTTCCCACGGCTAATATTAGCAGTGCATTAAAGATTTTTCTTAAGGCACTGTGTGAGCCAAAGCTAATGCTTCTGTGGGCCATGACCCCTAGGTGACTTTTGCTGAAAGTAGCAGTGACCCATGGAAGGACTGTGAGCAGGGCCCAGCCCCCATACTCCACATCTCCCCAGATGCTTCAAGCCTTGTTCCTGGGCTTCCCTTTCCCAGACCTGATCCTCTGTCCACTGCCACTCTCCAAGCAGTCTGGTGGGGAGATAGGCACTGGGAGGAGGCCCCTGCTCCATGCTATCTCTCTGAAGGTGCCAGGGAGTCTGGGGGAGCCAGGACTCTGCTCTGTGTCTGGGAATAGCAGCTGCCATTGAGGGCCTGGCTTTTAGCTCCTGGGTGTCAAAGGGCAGCACTCTCAGTCCTTCCTTGGGCCCGTTTCCTGTTTGAGAGAGGAAGAAGAAAGATCCCTGGCAGGAGAGGGTCTTTTCCTGCTGGGTTGACTCCTGAGGATGGCTTTCCAGAGTGTGTGGGGTGGAATGGAATAGCTGCCTCTTTCTCCCTTCTTCCTTCAACTGGGAGCCCAGGAGGGGACCCGAAGCCTCTGACACCCCACCAACCGTAAGTTAGGCCTGGTGAGGACAATGACTCCGAGTTCTGGCCCCCAGCTGGGGTCCCTCAGCAGCCTCACCCCTTCCTTGGTCTCCAGGGCTCCCAGCACCTCTGGATCCCAGCAGTATGGTCTCCTGGGACCTTCCTGACCAGATCACAAAGAGTTTACTGCAGCTCTCCACTCCCAGCAGGGAGCCTTTTTATGAGCTCAATTTAACTTCTCTTTGTGCTAGACTGAGCCAGAGCCTCTTGCACACACCTGAGTACAGAAAGCTCGCCACCACCTGTGAGAGCAAGCCTCACATCTACAGAGCCTGAGCCCATTGGGAGGGCAGGATCCCTGGATTCCCTCTGACTTTAGGAAATTTAAGTGTCTGCTGCAGTGACTCCAATACCCATTTTCTTCAACTTCTATATAAATCTTCTAATTAAGTTTGGAAATTAGATATCAAAAATAAAAATACCATCTGGGTGTGGTGGTACTTGGAGACTGAGGAAGTTCAAGACCAGTCTGGGCTGCATAGTTTCATGCTAGCCAGACCCTACCTCAAATAAACAACCAAAAAATTGAGGGTTTCCCATCCAGGGGGAGCAGAAAGGATTTGTGATAGGTAGGGTTTTAGTTGGGGGGTGGTGGTAGGGGAGGACGGAAGGGAGCAGGGAACTGGGATTGTCATGTAAAACAATCTTGTTTCTAATTCAAATAAAAAAAATCTGCAAAAAAAAAATAATGAGGGTTTCCTATTTCCTGTGAGTAAATCTCCATCAGTCACCTGCAGCAACCAGCTCTTCACTCTGGTGGCAAATCCTCCTGCCCAAGGTAGGCCTCCAAGAATTTTAAGTTTTTAGTTACAAAATTTATTATTGTCATTATAATTAGTGTGTGAGTGCATGCACATCTGTAGCAGTCAAAGGACTTTTTTTTTTCTTTTGGTTTTTTGAGACAAGGTTTCTCTATGTACCCGTCTGTCCTGGAATGAGCTCTGTAGACCAGACTGGCCTCAAACTCAGAGATCCACCTGCCTCTGCCTCCCAAGTGCTGGAACTAATGGCATGTGCCAGCCCCACTGGCTGAGGTCAGAGAACTTTATGGACTTCATTCTCTCCTTCCATCTTTATGTGGGCTCTAAGAATGGAGTCCAGGTTGTCGGGCTTGCATGGCAAGTGCTTTGCCCAGTGAACCATGGGACACTAACTTATAGATGGAAACCTGAGGCTCAAAGAAGGTGAGGAAAATCCCTGAGGTTGCAGTCAGTAAGGGAAAGCAGAGATTTGAGCCCAAGAGGTTCTGGAACTGAGGCCTCCTCCTGTCCACATCAGACAGACACCATACTTCTTCTTTCCCAACAGGCTGGACACCAGATGCCTCAGCCACTCAGTACTCATTCATTCATTCAACAACCCTGGGCTCTAGTTCAATGTTAGGGGCAGGCAATGCTGACTCAGCATGCCTCCTTCTCAAGTCTGCTGCAATTCCACGACTCTGCCCTGAGAGCTTGAACTCCATTTATTACAAAAGTCTGAGTTCATGGTATCTTATTATGAATAGCCCCTGCCAGACCACCAAGCCTCCCTCCATATGCTCCATCCTTGCATGAAGTCCTATGCAGATGGGGTCTTAGGAACTGGGTCCTGTGTTTATAAAATCGAATGGGTCCAAGCAACCCTGGGCATATATACATATACAAATCCAACAGGTTCCCCATCCATGGGGTATGAGTAGGTGAGAGTGCAGCCTTCCTGGGAGAGGAGGAAGTCGTCCCCAACAGTGGGATGGGACCCAAGGGAGTGCAGAGAGCATGAAGAGCTGCACAATTTGGTTTGAGTGGATGCTCATCTGGGCATCTGTGGCTTCAGGCCAGTCCTGTTCTGCCCCGGATGTTCTAGGCCACCTGGATTTGCAGGTCCTCATCCTCATCTAGGTCGCTGGCTCCATCTCCGGCTTCCTCGGTGCCAAATCGGGTACTGCGGATCTTCCCAAAAAGGGGGGCATTTTGCTGTTGCCTGCGGAGCCTGAGGGGTGGAGGTAGCAGGTCAGAGCAGGAATCATAGTGCATCTGTGCTGGTAGTGGCTCGATGCACACTGAGGCAATGTGCTCATATGGGGGGAATGCTGTTGCTACTCCAACTTATATACAAGGAAACTGAAAGTCACTCAGACAGGAGACAGTGGGGTTGTGCTCTGAGCGGGCAGTGCCAGCTCTGGTGTGGATGGAGGACTTAGAGAGGTGACTGAGATGGGGTTGGTTCCTCACAGGGATGCAGGAGACCAAGGAATAGGTCGTGGAGCACATTGCGTTCCAAGTGCCTGCTCAGCCCTAGTTCCTCACATTACAATTTTCAAAGGCAAAATGTGCTAGACAAACTTCTCCCATACGACTAGGAGGAGGTGGAGGAAATGCACTGCCCCCAACAAGGCAGTTGCTCCATGTATCTTACTGGAAGGCATGAATTATTAACGAGGCAGGGAGGGGCGAGAGTGTGGCTCCATTACTGCACAGTGATTTAGTGCGCTGTCCGGAACATTAAAGCAAGAAAAGTTACAAACTAGAATGAGGCAGCAATCCTGGGTGGCCCTGGCCGCCCCCGACAGAGGTGCTGGGGAGGCTGAGCAGAGCCAGTCTGCCCATTTTGGGAGTTTATGGCTCCCCAGGAATGTGGCTGAGACTTCTGGAAAGCCCCAGGCTGAACGAGTGGCCTGTTGAGGGGGGGAGTGTACAGGGTTGGACCGTGTGGAGCTGGGCATGCAACAAGCCTGACTCAGATCAGTGACTGGGCCCTGTATAAATTTCAGGTTTCACTCAAGGCTACAGGGAAACTGAGACTCTGTTGATTATGCCACATAATCATGAGGCCTGGAGGAGGAGGCTCCAAAGCCTCTCTGGACCACAAGCTCTCAGCACACAGTAGCACGGAGAAGATGCTCAAGAGACCAGGAGATCCCAACAGGCCAGTCACTATTAGGCAGGGCTTTCTTCTGCCTTCCAGTCCTGGGGGGAGAGACTGCCCCTTCTTTGCCTCACAGCAGGCTCTTGGCATAGTATCTATCTAGCCCACACCTCAGTCCCCTTCCAGGAGAGGCAATGAGAGTGGCCAATCAGTGCAAATAGTGACTCAGCATTTGTTGGTCCAATTGCGTCACCCATAATTCTCATGCAGCCCAGGCTAGTCTCCAATTCCCTATGTAGCCGAGGACGACCTTGAACTTCTGATTTGCCTTTACCTCTTGAGTGCCAGCATCACACCCACATAACCCCATGTTCCGTTTATGTGGTGCTGGGAATCAAATCTGGGTGTAGAATATTTGCAGCAAGCTACTGAGCTACATCTCCAATCAGGTGCAAATGACATCACAGCATCTGTTGGTTCAGGTGCTTTTTAAGATTCAATAAGCTCTCTTCACTGTCACAGCGACAGATCTCCATTTTACAAAGGGGAGAGCTGACCCACCAGGGTTCAGTGTCCTAAGGTCCTCTGGTCTTTCCCCTACCCAAGAATTCTGGCTGCAGGCCAGGTCCCTCCACCCACAGGTAAGAAGGAAGGTATGGGTGTGGCCACACTGACCACACATTCTTGGGGCTTCCCAGCTATGGCTCTGGAGGGCTCTGTCTGGTGCTTTGAGGCGTCTAGGGGGATTTGGAAGTGGGAAATGTATGGAGGAGGAGCCAGGATTTAGAGTTGGCACAGTGGGGTGGGGACAGGAGAGAGAGTGGTGTGCCAGGTAGGCGGATCTAAGCACCTCTCCACTTCCTTCAGGGGGTGAGGGTTCCTGCTACTGCTGAGGGACTGACCTGACTCTCTGCCATTCCTTGCTCTCAACCTTTCATATTCCTACTGACCCTGGGGTCACCTACCTCCAAGACCCGGGGGGGATGGTGTTGCTTCTTGCTAAGGACTCCCAGAATCACTGGGCCCTGCCCAGAGCCCTGCCTCCTTGGCAGCTGGCCGAGAGCCCGGCCTCCTTGGCAGCCCTCCATGTACTCACACCACCAGCCGGCCCATCCGAAGGAGACAATTCTAGAGCCCACAGCTGGGCTGTCTTCCTGCAGCCACTCCCTACCAGCTTCCTGGCCCTGGCCCTTCCTGTTCGAAGGGGACAGGATTCTGGCCCCAGGAGCTCTTCCTTCTTGGTCTTCCCCTTTGGCCCTCTTGAGGGTTCTTGCCCTTGCTCTGCGCACTTAGGGTCCTCCCCCAGCAGGGCACCCCTGCCCACCTGGACTGCAGGTGTTCCAGCTGCACCTGGAGGTTCTCGCTCTGCTCTGTCTGCTCGTCCAGTGACCGCTGCAGCTTCCGTGCCTGGTTGTGGGCCTCATCCAGCTGGGATGAGCAGGACAGAGAACAGGAGGATCAGCTTGGTCAGAGGCTGCCTGGCTTGGCCACGTCCCATGTTCTGCTCTGGAACTGTGCCCAGTTTCCAGCTCCTGTCGCTGAGGCTCCTTGGAGCCACTTCCATTCCACTCTCCATCCCTGAAGGCCACCAGCCTCCAAATCTACCCAGCATGCACCAGTTTACCCGGTCACATTTCCTCTCCCCCATACTCACCTGCTCCTCATCAGATGCCCTTTGTTCCCTGTCCCTTCACCCACCCAGTCATCAATCTGTTTGTACACCCATCACCATCAGCCACCTGTTGCTCTAGCTCATTCATCCACTTTGCTCTCCATTCATCCGTCTGTCTAGTCCTCTGTGCACGTGGAATCCTCCTGCCTTCTATCTCACCATCGACACCTCCATTCACCTCACTTGCTCATTTACCTCATCCACTTGCCTTCCCCTCCATCTGCTGCCACCTGCTCACTGCCTCAGGTGCCAGGCCCCAGTACACAGCAGCACAAGTGGGCATATGGCCCATTCCTCTCAGGTCTGTTGGCACTTGCCTCGTCCTCCGCCTGGGCCAGTTCTTTCTTGAGCTCTTCCACCCGCAGCCGCAGCTTCTTTACCTCCGTCTCGTGCTGTTCCACACGCCGATTGGCGTGTGCCAGCTCTGCCACCTTCTCCTGAAACTGCTTCTTGAGCTTGCCATGCAAATGCTTCAGGTCTGCCAGCTCCTACAGGGATGGGAAGGCTTGGGTCACATGCTCACTCAGGGAGGCCCATGGGACAGTCAGCTAGGAGACCCTGGCATGTCCTCTACAGGGGTATCACCCCTGCTGTTGAATGTTAAAGCTTAGTGATCAGCTGGGGGCTGGCAGTGCCACCACCTAGTGAGGTGAGAAGGCTAGGTGGGTGACTCAGTGGTTCCACTTGGCTGTATAACTGTCATGATCCAGGAAGGTGTCCAGTGGGCTGTGGATCTGAGGGAAGCGATGAGCTCTACAGTCTTGGTGACAAGCACGTGGTATGCATCTTCTAAGGCTGGGGATGAGCCAGACAGTGCAGTAAGTCTCTTCCACAGCACAGGAAGAGAGCTGAGGTCAAAGTGGGACAGCCAGGAAAAGAGATGGCCACCCTACTCATTTCCCATCTACAGAGGGGGGTCAGCCCTGGCTTTACTTTCTCCTCCACCCGTTCCAGCAGGGTCTGGTTGTCTGTCACCCCTTGCAGCCTTGGGAACTGCAGTGGCTCTCTACCCTCTGAGCTACCACCGCCTTCCATCTGGCAGCTGCCCACCCCACCTCTGCTTGCTGCTCTCAACGAAGCCCACGGTTCCTGCTTCTACCACCTGGGTCGCCTTGTCACACACACCCATCCAGAGTCCTCCTTTCGTCTATGACTCCCCAGTTCTCACCCTACCCTCTGGAAAGTTTACCACCAGTCAACTTCCACTTTTCTTGGATACCTCAGCCCAAAGTCATTGCCCCCCAGGAAGCCTTTTCAGGGCTAGGCCTAACCGTATGTGATGGAGAGAGCAATCTGTCCCTCTAAGACATCAGATCAGAAGCATGGAATATGTAGACACAGCTGTTTGTTCATTGCTGTCACTATCTCACAGTAGGTGCTCAGAACATGTAGCTACTATAATTACCAACTGCTTTATCTTATAGTAGTTGAGTATCTTTTATCTGAAAGTGCCTAGGCTCAAAAGTGGTTTGGTTTTCAATTTTTTTTTTTAATGGAGTCTCATGTAGTCCAGGCTGGCACTGAATTCTCCTTGTGGGCAAGGATGACTTTGAGCTTCTGATCCTTCTGCCTCTATCTTCTAGATGCTGGGACTATAGATGTGTGACTTCACACTGTGTTACATGATGCTGGGGAAAGGACCCAAGGCTCTGAGCATACTAGGCAAGAATTCTACCAAACTTTATCTTCAGCCTAGATTCCAGAAGCTTTGGGCTTTTGAGGTACTCACATATACATCATGAGATCTCTTGGGGGCAGGACCTGGGTCTAAACATAGAATCTATTAGTTTCATGTATGTCATTAGGGTCTGATTGCAATTTCCTTTAACTTTTTTATTTGCCCTCGCATTTTGACTGGGACCTACCACACCTAAGTGTGAATTTTTCTGCTCTTTTGAGGCATCGTGTTAATGCTCAAAGTTGGGGGTTTGGGAGCCCTTTGGATGTCTAATTTGGGGATCAAGGAGGCCCAACCTATACTGCAGTTACCCACATGCAGGATATACACTAGTGTGTTGGTTAGCTAGATGGGGGCCCCGGGAATCACTTCCTGTCCCACCTTGTTCTTCTCGAAGAGAGCGGCCTGGCTGGCCCTCAGATCACAATCCAGGGCACTGGCATTCTGACGCCGTCTGCGAGCCAGGGCCTCCTCCAGGTCTCCAACCTGTGCACGCAGCTTCTTGTTCTCCCTCTCCAGGCCCAACTTCTCCGTCTCCAGCCTCTCTCTGCGGCCCCACTCAGCTGCATTCTCTGCCTGAAGCCTTTCCATCTGCAACAGCGAGGAATGCAGTGAGACTCCTGGGGGACAGGGGTGGAGAGACGAGCTAGATGCACCCCCCACCCTGAAGCCAAAAATGGCACCAGGAAGCAGATCCAGCTGCAGCAGCTATAATTATGCTGGGCTTTTTTTTTTTTTTTTTT